ACATGGAAACACACATGTTTGTATGAATACAATGCGACTGTGAACCCTCACATACGTCTTTTAACAGGTGAACAGACTGCATGTCCACACACGCAGGAGCTCGTCCCAGCCTCCTTTACTACCGCGATTAAAAACGTGTTGCATCCCTGTCATGACGCTATTCCAAATTGCAAATCCTTGCTTTAAAATCGTTCAATCTCGAATCTTCACCATTTTCCCTAGGTCTTATACCGAGACGGACCTCGGGCCAAGACAACTTCCGATTGCAGCACAACTACTTTAAATTCAAATCTCGTCCAGGCTAACTAGCCAAATAGCCCTGTTCCTAAACAAAGCTCCCATTGTCTGGAACTTGTAGTTTTGCGGTTTTCTCTTCGCCCCCCAAACTGTTATTAACTCAGGTACCAAAAACTACAAATCTGAAGTCTGCAGAAAAAGTAAGAGCATGCGCACTGGATCCTTAATGATCGGGAAGGTTGTAGAATATTTTGTAGTAAATCAAATTGAGCTGGTAGCGGTATTTTTGAGCCTGTGCGTGGACTCTGTCATACGGCTGGAGGCTGAAGAGGAGCACAGAAGCGGTGAAAACGGCTCCAGGTTGAACTGAAACAAACAGCTGAGCCGTAGTATAGACGCTGCTCTCTGCATTGACTGAAGTTCACTGGTTCGGCTGCCGTCGGCGTTTGTCTTGCTCGCTAACGTTTAGTTCACTCGTTACTTTTCAGCGCTTCTGGATTTCTGGTGCTGTTCGGCTGAAACTGCTTTGATAAAAACCAAAAGAGGAGAAAGCTTACCTGAAGCTGTTCTGGCGTTTTCTATTTATCCGTTTCCACACACTTCCCGAGACACTGAGAAAACAATCGTTGGCTGACCGACCGTCGGCTGCCTGTTCATCGAGCGAGACGTTGCCAAGAATGCTCAACCGAAACCACGGCACAACTGCGCCCGCACTCCCACTGCGCATGCGCGGCCCTAACTGGTGCAGCATACACAGCCCACTACCGCTACTATGAGCACACATGTGGAGATGTTATGAACTGGGAAAGGCTTCAGAAAGAAATACTGTGGTCTGAAGGAAAGAAATACTCACATGCATTGCATATTATATGCAATACATACATATAATATGATAAATGAATATAACTACAAATACCAAAGGCATTCATTTGGAGACAAATTCCCATCTGCAGCATTAGTTTATATGAATGCTACTTTATTCAACACAAACTCGATTTGTACCCTACATTTTTGGACATATTCAAATTACTCTGTGTTTATTTATTGATATCTGATCCAAATGAATAGATAAACAAACAGTGCGTTGAATTTCTGTGATACTCCTGAAATATTCGACTAATCTACACAAAATGGTTAGTTTTGTTTATCATCCTTGTTTGCTCCATGTTTGAGTCTCACTCTTTGTTTTAAACGTACCATGGGTTAGATCTCTGTTTAAATAGTGCTTAATAACTTAAAATGGCTTGATTTTTTCAAAACGTGCCTATTAAAAATGTTGCTCGTTAGTTTAACTACATTGTAATTATTGTTACAATCATATACTGGAATTTGATGTAAATGTAAATGACAGGGTTTTGATCATGAACGATCTGCTTTAGAACATTTATCATGCAGCATGGTAAGAATGAAGTATCCATTGCTCAGCAGAAGGTCAACAGCAGCACCTTGTGGTTGCTGAACATAATGAGTCTACTGATGTCTTTTGTTCCACATCATCTTTAAATATATAAATGTGTACTAAGTTTGTTTTGTTTTTTCTGTTTGTATCACCTTTTTTATAATAATTTTTTCTATATGTTTTCAGAGCAAATGGTTTAAAGAGGCCTGTGGTTGTGTCAGCAGGACACTGAGACTATGTCCTTGAGTGACCCACTTCAGTCCACTTTCCTGTTAAAAATATGGGGAATATCATGAAGACAACAAAAATGTATGACTTTCGAACAACTCATGTATCTTATTTAGGAAAAGTGCCCCTTTATACATATATTTTATTTTAAAAAAGGATTTCTGCCAAATACATTACATTGTAAACACCATAAAGTACAAGGATAACTCACAGACAGGAGATTTCTTTGCCGTATGAAGCCTCTATTTCTTGAAAACATACGGAAGATTTTAAGTTCCCATGAAAACAACAGGTGGACTGTTTATTTCCTCCACGTGTTTACATGTTTTCAGTAAAAACAGAAACCAGGTAGGCAGCCCCTATTCTCAAAATGCCCAGTGGTTTCTGTGTGGTTAGTTCAAACAGCTGGAGGCACTTGTTGTCAGCACTACACTACAGCTTTTGCTTGAAGTTATGGTCAGGGGGAAAGGTTTACTGTTAGTTGGTTCACTGAGCGCATTTTGTATATACAATGAGGAGCTTAATGAACCCTTATCATGTATGTTCCTCCAAAATACAAACTCTAAAATGTCGCAGAGAGTACCTACAAGAAATTCTACTTCAACATGTAGACTTATAAGTATACTATAAGAATAAATAGTATAATATTTACAAAGACAGGCTTAATACAAATGCTTGCGATAATAACACTGTTGTGTTCAACCATAGACACCAGGGGTCAGTGTATCTTAAAAAAAAATCAGAGATTTTGATTTCGAATTGCATATGTGTTGTTATGTTACAATGAAATGTCCCCAGGAAGATTGTATCATACTTTGGATTTACATTTTAAATCCTCGCAAAACACACTGTCTATTATCAAAGTTAACGTACAGCAGACTGAGGAGAAAACAAGTTAGGTAAACATGGGCCTCTCTGGGGGGCATTTTTGCCTGGCAAATAGATGGTATCTGCTGGATAATGATGGCATATATCGTCTCTGTGTCCACGTCAACCTCCATCTAGTAGTCTCAAATGAGCCTATTATGCTTTATTAATGATTTCATACTGAATTAAATAATGTGAAGCCATGCAGACCAAATGACCAACATCTTTGCTAAACTCGTCCTTTGTGATACTGTTGTAATGCTGTTATAGATGTAACAGATGTCAGAAAGATGTAGGTCAGCGGGAGAGGCCTGTGGAACCTCACTACCCACAATGCACCTGTGCGGTAGCGCCGTCGCTCCAAAGCGCTGCGGCGTCCTGCTCTCCGCCCTGTTCGCTCCAGCCCAGCCAGACAGCAGCGCCGGGGCTCATCCACATGACTGGAGGATCAGCGGCACGGCCGGCGCTCGCTCCCGCATATGTGAACGGCACCCCGGCGTATTTGGATGCGAAGTCAGCCCCCCACCCCCCCCAGACTTGACAGCTCCGAGCTCGGGATCTCACGCGTTTTTTTTGGGAGAGAGAGAAAGTCAACACCATGGGCAACTGGACAGCCGGCTGATTGGCGCGCTTATCGGCTGATGGGGGCGTTTTAGGTCGTAATGGTTTACCTCACTTGGATGCAAATACGCCCATGCGACGATGTGTGTTGATGCCCCCCGGAGTCCAGGTTAGATTACAGTAAACGATACATGTTTACTCACTGCAATCAAGCTGTTTGGAAGACGCCTGGACAACCCACACGAATGAATGATTTGGATTATTATTATTCCTATGATCATTAGGGATGTTGTTGGTGTGGGGCGTTGATGGAAGTATCGATGACGGAAACATGGAGGCAGTGGATATCTATGGATCCCATCTACTGTGGGCATTATCTGCAATACGAGCCACCGCTGGTGACATTCTCCACCTCCTTCCCACCGTGTGACAGCCTATAGTTTGCCGTGGAAGTCGCGGACATTTAAAAACCCCGTACGTCCGACGCACCCCCGTAACTGACCGATGATCTGAACTAGAAATGCCATGCGCGCTCGGAAAGCCACAGGATAGTGATAAATGCTGGCATTTATCCGTTTCCTCGCGAAGAAGAGCCGCTTGTCCGGCAGGACCGCTCGTCCCCATCACGGATGTAGTCCCGCACGGGCGACTGGACCAGGCCGCTGCGCACAGACGGAGGCGGGTTTGTTGTGCTCCCACTTGGCTAGATGCTGAACATGGTGCCACTTCACGGATCCGTATTGACTACCTGCCACCCATCCGTCTGCCCGCCTCTCTAATTCATCCGTTGTCTTAAAATGGACGAGGCCTTTTATACCAAAGGCTATTCAGGGTCGCTGAACCGGCTCACGAGTGGCCATGCATGCAGGATTTAGCCTGGACCGGCTTGTCGGGATGTAGGGCGAATACCCGAGAATATATCCCCACTCACATTCACACACAATATAGGATAGAGAAAACGGCCCATATTCGTGGGGGAGATGGTCGGCGGGGGAGGTGCAGCGACTCTGGGCTGGATGAGAAATAATAAGGACCTCAGCACAGAGGATTTCAGGCGGCTCATGCACGGAATGCGATTTTTATTGGCCGCCTAATAGTTCACTTTTCATTATCGAATTAATCTGACAATCAGCTGTGGTTTTATTGTCATTTGAGTGACTGGGGAAGCTGTCTCTGAGCTCTCAGCATTTGTTCTAATAGGCTGAAAGTAACCATTAAATTCAATCAAGCCATGATTTTAATAGTTTGATTGAGTTGGTCTTAGCTTAAAAAGTCATTTACCAGCTATTGATAGATTCACAGTCTACTCACTGATCAGAACCACATCTAACCTGTTTTATTTTTTACAAGATTTCCTAACACCTGCTGTTTTATAGACACAGATATTTACACCCATTTCAAGAATTTCTGGCAGCTTACTACTCGTTTGTGGTATACTCATAGTTCTGGTACATTGTCCTTGAGTGAACTTGGCTTTTGGGAATACATGTTCCTTACACACTGTGTGGCAGCATCACAGCGGCAGCCGGTGGCAGATTTCACGGGGAGCTGTGGTGATGGAGGAGAGCGGCTCCCGCTCTGTGATCCCCTGATCCCCCTCCTCTGGTGGTCCAGGACGCCGAGTCTCAGTCAATGGGCCCTGCATGGATTTTGTGCCTGAGTTGACAAAGGGCCAGACCAACAGCGTCGAACAGCAGTCAGGCTTGCCATGAACCCATACGGCAGAGCGAGCAGCGCGGCGGCCCCCCTGTCCTGCACCAGCTGCGGGGGCTGCTGCTCGCCCCCTCCCCCTTGCCTAATCCCCCCCGGGCCCCCCTCCTCTACTTCCTCCTCGTCCTCCATGCCCCCGAATATGACCCCTCCGCCGCCCATGCTTCCCGCCCCCGTGGTGCAGGTGGAGAACGGTGGCAGCTGGAACTCCTCCGTCATCTCCTCCTCCGGCTCCCCGGACTCCCATCCCGGTCACCGGTGTGGGGCCAACAACCCCAACTCCTACTGGACGGCGGTGTTTGACTACGAGGCCACGGCGGACGAGGAGTTGACCCTGAGGCGCGGGGACCTGCTGGAGGTGCTTTCCAAAGACTCCAAAGTGTCCGGGGACGAGGGCTGGTGGACAGGCAAGATCCAGGACAAGGTGGGTATCTTCCCGAGCAACTACGTCACCAGGAGAGATGCGGCCAACTACCAGCAGCTGACCGCGGGGGGGCTGGTGGCCGGCGGGGTGGGAGACAGCCCCTTGGAGATTGACTTCTCCGAACTGCTCCTGGAGGAAGTCATTGGAGCCGGAGGGTTTGGGAAAGTGTACAAAGGAGTGTGGCGCAGGGAGGAAGTCGCGGTCAAGGCTGCCAGGCAGGACCCCGACGAGGACATCAGCGTCACGGCAGAGAGCGTGCGGCAGGAGGCCCGGCTGTTCTGGATGCTCCGGCACCCCAACATCATCGCTCTGCGCGGCGTCTGCCTAGGGGAGCCCAACCTGTGTCTGGTGATGGAGTATGCCAGAGGGGGTGCCCTGAACCGGGCCCTGGCTGGGAAAAAGGTTCCGCCAAGAGTTTTGGTGAACTGGGCGGTCCAGGTTGCAACAGGGATGGAGTACCTGCACAACCAGGCGTTCGTACCCATCATCCACAGAGACCTCAAGTCCAGCAATAGTAAGTACCACACCGAGCGTCATCCAACTAATGCGAAATGACACAGATATGATGTGAATGTGCTACATTTACAATACATGATACAGTATTCAAACACACTCTAAATGTAAGAGTTGAAGATCTTTCTCTTTAGTATTTGTTGCTTCTGGGAATTTTACCATGTTTTCCTTGATTGATTCTGTGTCCTTAAGCTCTCACAAGTTTACTTGTGACAGCACTGGCCCAGAGTTCAAAATAGTTTTGCCCATAGGGTATTAGAATATATTTTACTTTTATCATCGCATATCAGCCTGTTTAATTAGCTACCTTTTTCATAGAAATGTTTCATTTAAGCTCATATGTCTGACAGTGATGGAATATTTAGGTTATATTGTCTTGGTGCAAAGGTATTGATCGTCACTTTACAGCTCGTGAATTGAACGATGAGCCCTCAAGCGTCATTTCTCTGTTGAGCTAACAGCTGAGTGTCAAAGACGATGAGATAAAGACAGTACATGTTATATAGATGCAAATGAAACAGAATGCAGCAGGAAATAAAAATGGAACACGCAGACACAGGCAGTTTTATTAGCTAAAACCAGTCGCTTTAATCCACCAGTCCACAAAATAATCTCCTTTCTTTTATTGAGTCTGGATCAGTCTTTATGAAAACGCTTTTGCTTCTACTTTCTGATCATTTTTTAGGCTTTGGCTCTCACTGTTTTGGGGTTATGATGCTGTACTCCCATTTTTTTTACAGTATAACTGGAGTTGACGAGTTCTTAAACATAATCCACATTCATATTGGAATAAAGCTTGACCAAAAGTTCCAGTTAATGTAAGATTCACCTGCTCTTTTGGCTCACTTGTGTGAATACATTTAGCCTTTTATCTATTTATTCATTGTCTGAAGGCCCTTTATATGTCAATGTTTCAATGATATACCAACCTTTGTAACCACAGTATTAGTGGAATTTATACATATAATAATAATACAGTGACATCAATAAGATGTCACAGTATTTGTTAAAGTGGAAGGAAAAAAAGCATGAAATATTAGATGAAATGAGCGTTGATTCAACTCCTGAGTATGAGCTGTATTTTTTGAGCTGCTGCCAGGAGAAGGATCAACTTGAAGCTAGATCAATTTGAGTAAGAGTGTTTCAGAACAGTGCAGATGGTGCGAACAAAAACACTTACACCTTACACACGGAAGAAAACTATAACACAGCATATGGCATGTGGGACTGGATAAGCTGAATCTCCATGTCTTATGCAGACATATTACCCTCAGCCATCAGTGTAGGTACTCCCTGAAACAAAGGAGCAGACCCTTCAAATGATTCATGACGTGCAGGAATAGGATTATGATGAGGGGACGCTGAGGTTCTGGGGGTGCTGCTGAAAAAGCAGCAGAAACCTAAGTCTGAGCACAGCAAGTAAGCCCGAGTTCTTGAGTGTTGACCTCCGTCTGCCATCATCTCCCCGTCACCTCTGCCTCCGCACCTCCTCCTGCTCTCCATCCTCTGTCTCCTTCCTCCCGTTTCTCAAGGAGAGCAGTTCTGCTCTGCAACTGGCTGGGCTATTTTTGGTCCTTTGTGCTACTTGCTGTTTAAAGACGCAGATGCAGTTGTTTGGGAGTAAATGTGATAATACACGGCGAGCGTCTGAGCGCGTTTGTGTGGGTATATGCACGAGTCAGATGCTGTTTATTGTTCCCATGTGACATGAGCGATAGGGGCGGGCATGAACAAATATGGGTGGAGTGCTCACGATGCCGACTTAAGTGCTCTCAAGGAGGGAGATGGCAGAAGCAAGCGGAGTATAGACACACTCACTCCTCATCCTCTAAGCTTCCCAAACCTCACTTATGTCTCACTTTTTTTCTATCATGTTTCCCACACGACAGAGAAGAGGGATTTGCTTCCCCCCCCTCCCCCCTCCCATAGACATCCTCCCCACGCAGCTCCAAAAGCTAACAGCGATCACACGCGCATTGGACAGCAGAGCCTTGGCAACAACCCCATAACGCCGCCTTTTTCCATGGGTGACACGGGCAACGGTTCATGCCACTGAGTCATACAGCTGCTAGCTGCCGTCCTTTCCTGCACAAAACACCAGTCCCCTCATTCAAAAGCGCTGCGTGTGAAAATGGCACCTGAAGAAATGCAGGGAGGTTTCAGGGCAGACTCCCCCCCCACCCCACACGCTTGAGTGATGGATCTTGCGGGAAAAAAGTGGGGTCCGAATCGTCCCCGATTTCATGACTCACACCCACGCCGAGCAATGTTCGCAATGCCCAGGAGGGGAAGGCAGGGGAAGAAAGAGACATGAGGAGAGGCAGTGAGTCAAAAGATTGAGAGGATAACAAGGTGGAATAGATCAGGTTGTGGAGGGAAAATAAGCTTGAGGACCAGCGAGAGTGGAGCCGTATGAAACGGGAGAGCGGAGTGATGGGAAAGAACAAGAGAAGGAGAGCGTGGGGGATAAACAGTGGGTTCATCTCAGTTTAGGGTTACACCTCAGCTCATTGTCCAGGTGCGCTGGTCTCAGGTGTCCTCTTCAAACCACCGATCACTTGGCATCACTGTGGTTACAGAGCAGCCCGGGCCCCCGAGCTTCTCCTCTGTCTTCCGTCAGCCAGCGTCGGCGCTCGGTAAACAATCTTGCCCCAGCTGAAGAAAACTTCATCGAAACGTGACACTTTCAGACGGAGCCAGGTTGTCTTGGAGGCCTTTTGAAATCTCTCACTACACAGGCGTCTTATTTTTGGATCAGTCTGATTCTTTTTTTTTTCTTCTAAATTTATCCCACCTGAGATAAAGCTGCTGAGCTGGGCGTGTGAGCGTGTGTGTCTGCATGGTTTACCTGTCTGTCTGTCAGACCCAGAGCTACAACTGAGTGATAATCTGATTACCGTGACCTCCTCGCCGTGATGTCACAGCAGGCCTGCGGACCGGCAGGCCATCAACCCTTCAGCTGGGCATGCCTTACCTGACTCTGATCCTGGATCAGCATCTTGTTTCTTGAAGCACCAATCATCTTTATTTGACTCAAATGTGGAGTTAAAGCAATTAGAAAGAACAGCAAGTGTCAGGACATGAGCAACCACGGACAAGAATCTTTTAAAAAGATAGAATGTCCCATATAGATATGAATATGCTAGATGCATAAACATATAATATCATTATTTGTAAATTATTACGATTGCAGCTAAGCAACATTTACATTTTTTTCTAAGAATAATCTTTAATTCTGAAGTGATTTCAAAAGAAATTAAAGTGTGTGTTTTTTTTGCTTAGACCATATGAAACAAATGATTGATTTTTCATTTATTAATATTCTGTTGTAAGTCATATTTATTTATTTTTTGTTGTCTTCAAGCCACATGCCGTTTGCCAAAAACAATTTCTTTTCACTCTCTCTTTGTATATTATAGTTCTGTGAAATTGCAAATGAAGTACCTGTTGCTGCTGCTTATTAATTGTTCCATTGTATAAACAAAGGCTGTTGTTTCTGCCCAATTTCCAAAAACATTGACTAATCGTAGCCGGATTAGTCACCAATTCATATGACCTTTGTTGGGATTTCAGTATTGGAGAAGGTGGTTAAATCTAATTTCAAGAGGTTTTTTGAGGAACTATTATAGCTTTTTTATTCCTGACTTTAAGAATCCCATTTAGCTGCTCTTATTCATTTAGGAGTTGTATAAGAAGAGACAGGTCCTATAAAGAATAATTGAAATAAATGGAATAGGGAATAAATAGGTCAACATGGTATAAATATTCTGACTTTTGTCTTCTTAATTTTTTACGCATTTGAATAGAGTTTAATTTGAGCTATTAAGCTTTGTAAATACATACAGGTTTGTTTTACAGTCACAGTTCAGGAATTTAAGGGATTGAGAGATGAAAATGGAGGGAACATGAATAAGAATTTGACTCATTTCTAAATAAGGTTAAATGATTCATTAGAAAATCATGAGCGATCATAAAAAAATACATTATCAGTTTTATTTATAGAACCCAGGAAGGAGGTAATAAAGAAGGCTAGTTGATTTAAGTATCTGAGGCTGCTGTAGCTGCTGGCTGCCACAGTTCTTCTTTCAGCATGAAATCTTTATTTAACAGTTGGTTGAACCTCTGATCCAAACAATCTGACACAACATCTCGATAGTAGACAGATGCAAAATATTATAGGAAACTATGTTGAAAATGTGTATTTTAGTTAACATTTAAAAGGAATACACAGCTGGTGTCATGGAATAGGAATAAAAACCCATAATACATAGCAAAGCAATGTCTTCCTTAAATTTGAAGATATTTTTTCCATTTGTGTAGATTTTTTCTCCTCAGTCGGGATGGTTTGAGACACTATATCTGCAGTATCTGATTTAAAAGCTATTCAGGAAAGGAATGTACAAAAGAGTATATTTTTGCTGTTGACACCAAAGCAAGCCTTAAAAATGTGTTAGATTTTTTTTTTAAATGATCGTTTTCCGAACTAAAGAGCATCATTGTTGTTACACAACATTATTTGATCACTCTGGTTAGTGTGTCTTGATACATATCAGTTGTTACGGACAATCATGCAACTATGAGACAATTGAAATTACTGTCATATTTACAAGAGTCACTGATAAAAAAGCGAAGCAGTGGACCTGTGTTTGGCAGGTTTCAGCTTCACTCCCCCATTAGAATCCCTCTGTCATTCTCCAAGTTAGCGGTGCTCTAAAAAAGTTGTCTACTCAGAAGTGGTTCAAACAAAAACTGCACAAAGTTCTGACTAAAGTCTCACTAAAGCAGAAATATCACATGGAACTTTGCTGTTGATATCAGCGGGTCACCAAACATCTCAGTCTGTTTACTTTTTAATCAGCGTGAACGAGGAGTCCAAAATGGACTCTGAGTCATGGAAATTTCCCACATATTTAGTTTTGTGATGCCTGAGATGCTCAAAAACACCAGAGCAAATACATTTGTAGACACGACTCTTCCAGAATGTCAAACAGAGTCTGAGTTCCTCTTTAAGTGGCATGCGCATCACTGGGAGTCTCTGACAC